AACAACCTGTATTTCATTGCATTTATAGATTCTCCCTGAAGAGCTGATTTTAGCAATGCATCACACTTGGGGTCTAGCGGGAATGATTAGGTATACGGTGTTCAAAACGAGATTAGGATTTTTTTGTTTCGGAACTATTCATTATTGGTCAAAGCGGCTTTCATGTCCTCATCCCAACTTTTGATTAACCATCTACTGACATTTAATTGAAACAGATCGATACAGGAATGATCAGAACTGTGAACCTTATTATTATTATTATCATTATTAACTGACAATAAGGGCAGAGGCAGAGTCTATTATGCCCAGAAGTATAAATTTACAATAAAGTACAAAGTGAGTGATATCGTAAAAACATAAGAATCGAAAATATCGACAATAAGGGAAATCAGCACAATAGGTATACATACATCAATCAGAAATTAGAACACTGGAACGCGTCGAAATCATTTTTGAATTGAAACTGTTCATGCTTGGAGCTGTCACAACGGCCTCTGGGAGCGAATTCCATAGCCCAAATACTCTATTGGGCGAAAAAACTTTGCCTGACGGTGGACTTGAAGTTTTCGCGTTTAAGCTTCATTGTATGTCCTCTCAGCCTGGGGTCCGTGTTCAGCTCAAAAATATGCTGCATGTCGATGGAGAATGTGTCGTGCAGTATGCGGTAGGTCAGAATAGCATCTCCTCTGGCTCGTCTGTCTTTGAGAAATGGAATCTCCAATCGGGTTAATCTATCTTCATAGAATTAGTGCCTGAGAGAGGGTATCATTCGAGTTGCCAGACGTTGGGTTCTCTCTAATCTTGAACCACCCTGTACCATGAAAAAAATCGGAAGTAAAAGTCGGGCTCCGCGAGTCTATCTCTCCGTATCTTTGCTGTATCTTTAATGCTTTTTAATAAATACACTTTATTACGTGCCTATCGCATGTGTGATACACATCAATTAGTGATGTTGAAGGCAGAAAAAACAACAGATCAGGCGCCATATCTTCGCGGGCGCCACCTAGCTAGAACGTTGACCTCCTAAGAATAATTTCTACACTATCATAAAAATTAATTGATTCCATGTAATTGGGTGTACTTTCGAGTTGTTAAATGTCGAACGAGTAACGCCTAAATAACGAGTCCTAACGAGGAATTATAGAAAACACCTAGATACTTTTTCCTAGGGTCACTTGATGCAAATTGGCGTATTTCGTATTTGTCATCTTAATAGGGTACGGACAGATCCTCGTCTCCTCTCACTCTGAAATGTTCGTGAAACAGTTTTATAGTTACACCCTTGTTCACTTCCGAAATTTGTCGAAAAATTTCGAGGTTTTCCGGGCACTACACTTCTAGCCCAAGTCTTTCAAAGCTGCAAACTTGGTTTTATACTATTGAGACATAGCCTAACAACATGCAGGAATTCGTCGAATATGTTAAAAACATCAGTTTACTGACCACTAAAGCTCTGTTTTCAACGTGTATGTTTTAACACAATTCAACCAACAATCAACAAAAGAGAGCTTCTCAATACGTCATGTATGTTTTAACCCACATCAACAAAAAAAGGAGGTTTCCAATAAGCCACAGGTAGGTATGTTTCAACCCATTTCAACCAAATTAAGGAACTTATCAATCCGTTGCGTATGTTGATACCAGGTTACAATCCCCTTTAATCAAAGAGGGAGGTTTCAAATTCATCGCATATGTTTTAACCAGGTTACAACCCACTTCAATCAGAAAGGAAGGTTCTGAATAATTTATAACGTATGTTTTAACCGACTTCAACTAACAAAACAAGGTTCTGAATACCAAGTATGTTTCAACTCACCTCAATGAAACATGGAGATGGTTCTAAATTCATAGTGTATAAACTCACATCAACAAAGGAAGGAATGTTGCCAATTCGTCACATAGGTATGTTTAACCCAGTTCAACCAAATTATAGTTATTTAACCAACTAGTGTATTAATGAAGGCGATTAATGATCGAGATCATTAATCGCCTTTTAATATACAAGTTGGTTACAAAATTTTTCCGTCGACTATATTTCTCATTTCTCTCCTGCAATGAAGAAACCGGAAACTGCTAAGAATCACCAAGTAGCCTTGTTACTGACATTAGTGACATTTGACATTTCTCGAAATGATCAACATAGGAAATAAATTCCTTGTGTTAGAAAATAGGGATTAAAATCGTGTCAGGAACTTGGAAAGACGAACCCGTTAACGGAAAATCGTCGATGAAATCCATATTTTCGATTTAAATGCAGATTCCGTAAGTTATAGCATAAACAATGACTGCACGCGGTGTATGTTTGGTTGCCTATAAAACAATCGTGCATTAATAGACAAATCGTTCATTAATAGGGGTCATTAATGAACGATTTCATATACATTAAACTTAGTCGTTAATACGAGGTGGACGGAAAAAGAACTTATCAATTATTCGTCGCGTATGTTATAAAAATCAGGTTACAACTTACAACCAACTTCAACCAAAAGAAAGAGGTGGTTAAATCGTCACGTATGTTTCAACATCATTGTTTCAACCTTATTCTTTATCCAAAAAAGGAGGTTTCGAATACGTGTATGGTTCAACCAGCAAACAGATGAAAGGGTCAAAATACATTTGCGTATGTTTCAAGCCACTTCAATCAAACATAGAGAAGGTTATCAATTTCTCACGTATGTTTTAACCCATTTCTTCATGAAATGTATATTAGGCCTGTTCGTTTGTGTTTGCTCTACCTGCTAAACTTCATTCCATGAACTGACCAGAACTATGGAAACAAAATCAACTTTAGCAAGTTTAGCAGCACAAACGAACAGACCTATCAATTCAGTTTCCACTCATTTCATGAATATACTTACCTGAGTCTGAATTAAATACAGGGTGTCCGGAAAGTCATGTCGTAAATGATAGGGCTGATAGAGTAATCCGAAATAATGTTAGTACTTCGTATAAAAAATATGTCTATCGCGCTTCGTTACGGACTTATTGACTTTGAAAGTTAGAATTAAAAAAATGAATTGCGTGTATAACTTTCAAAGGGTAGCCATGGTATCAATGATATTCGGGCAGGTAAATGAACTCATATTAATGCACCTTTCCATAAGTTAACGGGTTTTCAGTGATTATGTTTTATACAGGAGGAGACAATTTTTTTCCGTTTAATGAAAGATTTTTCGACAGAGATGACAAATTCGACATTTGGCTTTTACCGTTTGATCCCTTTATCTTTTTACTACAAAAATGGAATACTTCATTCCAATCGATATCTTGTACCGATCTAGAGAAAATCGCATTTAAAAACATATATCCCAACCGTTTCAAAGGTGATAAAACTCAATTTATTATCAATGTATGGATATAGGACTGATTGAAAACTGCTCAATTATGGATCTTATATCATTAATGAAACTTCAAATGTAAATTAATATTCAACTCTTTTGCAAGAACATCCAGATCTGTTGTTCTTTTGAATATTCAAGGGTTTATGAGGCTGATGCACGATGGTGCGCCTCCTCATTTCGACAAAGCTATAAGAGATCATTTGAACATCACATTTCCTCAAGGTCCTTTTCCATGGCCACCTCGGTCACCTGATCTTAATCTACTTGATTTATTTCTTTGGTGCTTGAATGTTTGGTGTATAAAACAACTGTAAACATGCGCGTTGAAGTTCAAGATACATTGAAAACTATTTTTGATCATCTTTTTATCTTCACTGATCTCATTAAATAGGTAAATGGAACTTTCATCACCTCTGAAACGGTTGGAATGTATGTTTTAAAATGCGATTTTTTCTAGAACGGTACAATATATCGATTAAAATAATGTATACCATTTTTGTAGATAAGAGATGAAGAAATCAAACGATGGAAGCAAAATGTGAAATTTGTCACCTGTATCAAAAATTACATATTATTATTATATAATCACTGAAAAGCCGTTTACGCATGGAAAGGAGCATAAGTATGAGTTTATTTACATGTCTGAATATAATTGAGACAATGGCAACCGTTTGAAAGTTATACATGAAAGTATTTTTTTTTTTTTTCATTCTTACTTTCAAGGTCAATAATTCCGTAACGAAGCGCGATCGAAATTTTTTTAAATGAAGTACTTACATTATTTTGGTTCACTTTATCAGCCCTATCTCTTACGACATGACCGTTCCGGACGCCCTGTATATTTGTAAGCAAATTCATTGTATGTTCTTGACGTGGAAAAAAACCCATTCAAATGATTTCGTTTTTGTTCATGTGAGTTGAACAAGTCCATCACAAGTCACAAGTAGCCATTCCTATTCCTATAACTTATTTCAAAAGTCGTAGTGTCTAATGGCAATTAAGGACGTAATAATAATGTTTATTTACCAAAATATACAAAATATACATACATATATATGAGTACAGTGTGAATCACATTAATTGAATTCTAGTATGATCAAAAAACACTTCAGAATTAATGTAAATAAACAACTAAGTCCACAAGGAAAAACCCGCGCGTGGATCGCTCACAATAAATTTACAATCACTCTTGGGTGTCGTTACTGTTATGCAAGATCTTTAGCTATCACATATTGATGAGAATTTATTCACTCAGTCACACTCATTCAATAATTATTATATGACGAATTTCTATATTTTATTTAATAACTTACCACAAACTACATTAAATCTAAATCAGACCTAACAGGTAACCATGAAACGGTATCAGAATATCAACAACGAACTTAATATTATTTTTAAGATCGATTATGCGTTGTGTTTCACTTCTAGGCATACTCAATATCCATTTTTTCACTTGGGCTTTGAAAAGTTTCATTTAATCCAATAATTTCAGTTGTTTTAGGGGCTAAATAAATGTAACTCCTCTGTCCAATAGTTTTTGACATATTAGGTACCACTAATGTGTTCTCTTTGGACCTAGTATTATGATTATGTTGGATATGCTGACTGGTAATCAAGTTTTTCCTCTTGTATATTAACAAAATAAACATTTTTTAGACGTTTGAACCCAGAGACTTTCGAGGGCCTCACAAAAGTGAACTACCTCAGCCTGGCAGACAATGTGTTGGAAGATGTTCCTCAACAACTATGGAAGGAAATGCCCAACGTCAAAACTCTCGATCTGGGAAGAACCAAAATCAAGACCCTTACCTCAGGCAGTTTTTCGGTAAGCTCAAGAAATATTTATAGCTTATACAGGATATAACCCGAAAATAAATCGCAATTTTCCACCATAGCTGCTTCCACAACTGAAAATATGAGAAAACTGTTTAATCTGCATACAAAGAAGAATATTTTATTTTTTTATAATCTCAGATGTTACTCAAGGAAAAGAATTAGTTCTGGCTCCTTCACCATTCTGTTGACGATATTGGTGAGCTGCCATGGTCATGTTCACATTCACCACAGAATGCCACAGAGCTAAAACGCAATTTTGCTAACGCGACTGTGACGTTGCCATTCTGATTAAAATTATTCGTAGGTTATGTTGACCCTAAGTGTCTGCTTTCGACGAGCGCCAGAAGTTCATGTGGTATGCGTCATCTGTCAAACATCATACGTATCGTCATTCGAGCGCCATTTTGACTCCGTAGCCATTTTGACGGACTGAGTTCCTGGTTTTGACGAGTACCAGAAGGTCCCTTGGTACACATCATACGTCAAACGTTTATTGAACCTGAGCGTTTAGTTTCGATGAGCAGCGGAAGTATCATTAACGGCTTATGTTATCTATCAAATGAGCTGTCATCTGTCATTTGTCGTACGTTGGATGTAATCTACTAGATGTGGTGTTAATCATGAGAAGCCCTGTATATTTTTGAATTTTTTTCTCTGAACCAGGTTTTTCGGATATATATGTATGTATATGTATATGATACTTCATCTTGTTATTGTAGTTGTGTTATATCCATTTTCATCAGTAGCTTGCGGTTAGCTTGCTCATCGTCGACGGATGACTTTGAAAGGGACCATTTTTGCTATTTCTGAGCTTGAAATTTCTCATGGAGATTTACATGGGAACAGTGGTCAAACGGTCGGGGATCTCTTGTAGCTGTTTACTCCCCTAACGACGCCATACTTGTATACAGGCTGATCCACGGTGGATGGCCTATTAGAAGTATCTGGAGAACGAGAAGACAGAACATTCTGAAAATTGGGATGCTTTGATAATTGAACATTCTCTATCCGTCTAAAATATTTTCATCGATACAGTGTTGCCACTTCTATCAGAAACAACTAGCAACTTCGTTATTTTGAATAGAGCACCCTATATTTTATTGCATTTTTAGATTCTCCCTGAAAAGCTGATTTCATCAATGTACCACACTTGGGGTCTAGCAGGAAAGATTGCATAGATATATGGTGTTCCAAATCGAGATTTTTTAATTTCAGGATTTTTTTGTGTCGAAAGTATTCATTATTGATCCAAACGGCTTACATGTCCCTATCTCAACTTTCGATTCACTATCAACTGACATTTAATTGGAACAGATACAGGGTGATCAGAATTCTGAATCTTGAAACACCCTGTATTTTTTCCAATCAAATTCCAGTAGATAGTCAATCAAAAGTTAAGATAGGGACATGTAAGCCGTTTTTGATCGATAATGAATAGTTTCGACACAAAAAAAATCCTAAAATTGAACAATCTCGATTTTGAACACCCTATATCTCTGTAATCATTCCTGCTAGACCCCAAGTGTGATACATTGATGAAATCAGCTCTTCAGAAAGAATCTAAATATGCAATAAAATTCAGGGTGTTCCATTCGAAATAACAAAGTTGCTAGTTGTTTCTGATAGAAGTGGCAACACTGTATCGATGAAAATATTCTAGACGGATAGAGAATGTTCAATTATTGAAGAAACCCAATTTTCAGGATGTTCTGTCTTTTCATTCTCCAGATACTTCTAATAGGCCATCCACCGTGGATCACCCTGTATATCCGTTGAAGAATACAGCGAATGTATTTGGTTGACTCTAACATATGCATGACATGACAACTTCGAGCTGAAATCTACTACTTTTTTGTATAATCAATAACTATAGCATCGACAAAATCTCAGAGGAAATCGATTGTCGAAATTCTGGTTCTATAAAGTAGACCACGCTGTATAAACATAGGTGTAACCATGTTATGAAACATATTCATATAGATAGCAGATAGGTATCATAAAAGTACATGCAATTATTGCTGTTGGATTTCCAATATTTCAAGTTCACTAATTTGCTAACGGTCAACATTCTACAGGACCTGAAACAACTAGAATGCCTCGTACTTCCTGGCAACCAGATATCAGAAATGGACGTCAACTCTATACCACAGCAAGTGCAAAGACTCCACATCGGCCGCAACTACATCGAGGATCTGAACAGCACCCTGAGGAACCTCTCCGAGTTGGGATGGTTGTTCATCAACTGCAACAGGTTGACGAATCTGGACAACCAGTTGCCTCGCAACGCGCCAAATTTGAAATTGATTCACGCTTCCCACAATTTCATTGAAAGGTTGCCGCGACAACTCAAGAATTATCCGTTGCTGGAGTCCATATTTTTCCAGAATAACAAGCTGAAGTCTCTGGACGGTGCCATTTCGAAGTCCAACCATCTGATGAGGGCTGTTTTAGAGCACAACCAAATCAATACGGTTAGTGGAAGTAATATTTCATTGAATTACGCATTTTATTTAATGACTGTAACATCATAGTGACCGTTGAAATATTTTTCCATGTGATTCCACTCGCCTGAAAACGCTTCTGCTCAATGCGAAGGAAGCTCTAAACACAAGGAACAGTGCGCGTAAGATACATGACAGGTCATATAAATGATCATGACTCATGTTCGCCAGTTCGATCTCGTGAGTGGGTGAAATTCAAAGTCAAAAAGTGCTTTAGGTATTGTTCAAGAATAAGATTCTCGTATAAAGCTTGAAACGATCAAAATGTAAAATATAAAAAAATATTGAATAACACAAAGATGTGACATTACTAAGCCTAATGAATCTACAAGTAGGTACTAATACGATTATAAATCAAAAAAATAATCTAACAAGATACAAACACAAAAGAATAAATTCAAAGTATGAAATATGTGAAGTCATAGCATGCTTGTGTGATCAATAAGTCAAATGTCGGCGTCAAACAGTGAAATCTGTCTATCCCTGACATGCCAAATCATTTCACGTATTGCCGGCAAACATCGTAACTATAAATTTCGTACACCGTCTGCATGATAGTTTCAGGCATTCCACCTTGTTTTTTATCTCTTGGAGCGCACGAAAGGAAATTCCTATAATGCTCGTGGAACATCGTGCGTACGTAATGATGAGAGGAATGTTCATTTAGGCCTAGTCAGGTTAGGTTTTTTAGAAACAGTAGTCTCTTTTGTTCTCTCAAGTATAATTTTTCGAAAAATATGCTTACTAGGAAGAAGGTTCATTCAGGCCGAGTTTGGTAAGATTTTGTTTAGGAAAAGTAGTATTTTTTATGCTTATGCAGAATAGTATATTGTGCAACAAGTGGGAAAAGTGCTTTTCCCCACATGTTGCACACTATACTTTTTCTACAACTGCACTCATTCAAAGAATCCGAGTAATGTAGCTTATTGGTATTCATTTTATAATGTGGCAATATGCCACATTGAATATTGTGACCAAAGAGTAGACGCCTTTCCTAGTTCCTCAAAGTATTTCAAAAAAGTACACTTTCCGAAAGAGATTTTATTTCTGTATTTTTTTTAGATTCCATAAATTTTTCGTTTATGCCAATTCATACTTTTTTCTTGAAATTCCCGGAAACAAATCCAACTTTCGCTGCTTTTTCCATTATTTCTGTCTCTGGCGGTGTGGTGTGTTTATCAAAATCGTCACATCTCGGTTTATATCATATCATTTATTATGAATTGTTGGAATAATATTTGATGGAAAATTTCTATCAAAAACACTAATGAGAAGTACCCTAAAGAATTTAAAAAACTTCTTCTGACAGTTGCGACAACTATTCAAAGCTGAACAGCAGCCAAGTTTTGGTCGATTTTTGTTGATTCTCCATGGAAATGTATGTGGTGTTGGCAAAGTGCCGTGGGAAAAAATATTTCTCACAGTATGAGCAATACATGGTTTTGAAACTAAGTTAGCTATGAGAAATGCGCTACTTTTCATAGCAGTAGTAGAAAAAGGATATTTACCTTCCTCAACCTTTCAGCAAACAGTGTAACGGTTGAAAATGGAAGTTATTACGCTTGCCGGCAATACGTGAAATGACTAGGCATTTCAGGAAAATACGGATTTCACTAATTGACGCCGACATAAATATTAGAAAGTGGTATCTGCTAGAAACTAGTAGTTTTTTCACAATTATTTAGAATCTACATTGTAGTGAAATGCCCTTGATCACATCAGGTAGGTACTAGAGGTGATTAAACAACTTGAGCCTATTATAAACAAAGGAGTTTTCAACAAGGGTTGAATTTGGCATTGATGGTCTGATATTATTCAGTGGTTTTAACCTAAAACAATGACCCTGATAATACACTGGTTTGTTGAAAAATACAATCTCAGTGGAACATATACATGATTGGGTGTTTGATGCATATGCACATTTTCGCCACTAATGAAGAATTTATTAAAAGAGGGGGATGTGTAAGATGTGACGTGAACAAGTGAGTAAGACTTTCAAGTCTTCCCTTTCACCAACTTTCACCCAACTAGTATGGCAGCAGGGATATATACAGGGTGATTCATTAAGAATGGGAAATCTCTGAACTACAGATAGTAAACACAAAAATAATGAGATTTAGCCCAATATGCCTGATGAGAATGTTGCTGGTTTAGGAGATACAGCGTGTTCTAGGGGGAGATTTTATTTCAAAATTTCACAATAACTCAGTTAGTTTCAACAGCATGAACATGAAATCTTGTATTTCTAGGTTTTCTGACATGAGGAATATGAATTTGCAAGATATTTTGAAATAAAATCTTCTCCTTAACCACCCTGTATCTCTTAAACCAGCAATATTTTTATGAGTCATGTTGGGCTAAATCTTCATATTTGGGTGTTTACTATCTGTAGTTCAGAGATTTCCCATTCTTAATTCAATAAATAGAATTATTAAAATGTCATAAGTGAAAAAAGATACTCTTCAAAAGCGAATAACACAAAACCGTTGAAGCTAGACATTTTGATAAAGAGTACGTTCTTCATGTGAAATTGAACGAGCTTTCACTGCCACTAGCGCCATCTATGAGCTATCACAAAAGAAGTTGAAAATTCATATTCCTCATGTCACAAAACATAGAAATACAAGATTTCATGCTCATGCTGTTGAAACTAACAAAGTTATTGTGAAATTTCGAAAAAAAAATCTCCCCCTAGATCTCCTAAACCAGCAACATTCCCATCAGGCATATTGGGCTAAATCTCATTGTTTTTGTGTTTAGTATCTGTAGTTCAGAGATTTACCATTCTTAATGAATCACCCTGTATAGGGTTGGCCCCATTGCTAGGATAGGTAGGTAATACTAACACACTAAGTTGAATTTGCTCAGTAAAAAATTTTCGAAACAAGATACTCAAACTAAGATAGAAGGTGTTTTAAAAATATGTATGTACAGGGTGTCCCAAAACTGGATGCGTTCTTATGGGAACACCCCTTATTTGAAGAGATGGAAAAAATTTAACCTTGGTGTCCGGAGCTTAAATTCAATAAGGAAACCACTGGCGCAGACGAGACTTTGCTATCTCTTATCGTTTGGCCGCCAGAGGGCTTTTCTCGAAATTCGTTGATTTCTTCAATGCCCCATAACTTTCTTATTAATGAAGATAATTCATTTTGGTAAAAACATTCTCAAAGCACTTTTTTCCATAGAATCTATTGAGATGAGAAGTTTTTTTACAGGGCGTTCAGATTGCTGTGCACCATCCCAAACTCTGTTTTTTTAAAGGACCACCCTATATATTATGATATTTTTGAGAAGCTCGTAAAATTTCCTAAATTTTGATGTATCACTCTTCATGTTTATCTCAGAAACCATCAGCAACATTACGATTTAAAAATTAAAATATTGTGCCTACAGAAATCAAGATTGCCCTGACTAATGAAATGACATAGGATGCTAACATGTTATAGTTGAAACCACCGATCTAAAGTTTTTACGTAAAGAATCAGTAGGCTGTGATCATGATTATTCTGTTTTCATTGTTTGACAGCTTCTAAATAGTTGAGAATAGACAGTATAGAACTCGATAATGTTTGATATTTTGGTATTTTCGGTAGAAAATAAGTATATTCATAAAGTTTTTGAAGAGTTTTAAGGAATGTATGAAAATTACAAAAAGTTCAACATGCTTGAATGTTACATAGAAAGTAACAAAAATGCTCAGGCGGCAGAAAACTTGTATTTCCAAAGATATCCCGAACGACAGCAACCATCCAGGGATATATTTGCTAGACTTGCCCATAATCTCCAAAATTTTGGTTCTTTCAACAAACCCAGAGCAAGTTATGCTCAAAATCAAGAAATTCAAAATGAAAATGAAATGAAAACTATAACCGTATTGGGAACTTTATATCAAAATAATGGTAAAACTTCCACAAGAAAACTTGAAGCAGAGACTGGCATACCCAGAAGCACAATCCATCGGATTTTGAAAAAAAATAAATTCAAGCCCTATCGAACTCGCAAAATCCATCATCTTCTTCCTGGGGATTTGGATAGAAGAACTCGTTTTTGTCAGTGGTATTTGAATAAGATACAAAATGAACCAGATTTCGCCATAAATTGTATTTGGACCGACGAAGCTTCGATTAGTAGTGCGGGCATATTTAATCGATTTAATGATTACACTTGGTCTCAAGAAAATCCTCATGTGACTGTTCAAAACAGACAACAAGGAAGATTCAGTTTTAATGTGTGGGTAGGAATTTTCAGAGGACAATTCATTGGACCCTATATTTATGATGGACCGCTGAATTCTAGAGAATATTTGGATATTTTAAGGAACCAAGTTGAACCGTTCTTGGAAGATATTCCTATTAATCTGATACCCAGAGTAGTTTTCCAGCACGATGGTGCCCCTGCACATTGTGCAAGGATTATGAACGATTACCTCAATGTCCAGTTCGGTGAGAAGTGGATGGGAAATCAAGGGCCCATACAATGGCCTTCCCGGTCACCGGACCTGACGCCCTTAGATTTTTTTCTTTGGGGTAGAATTAGAGACTTAACTTATGAAAATAATAATCTTAATACCCGGGAAGAATTAGAAAGGGTGTTGCGAGGTGCGTTCAACCGAGTTTTAAATATACAACTCATTAATGCAGTTAATGCTGTTACCAAAAGATGTAGAATATGCCTTCAACAAAATGGGGGACAATTTGAACATTTGCTGACATAACTTCATTATGTTTGTGTTTATGTTTATTCAATATCGTTGATTAAGTTCCATATAATTTTATGTTAGGATTTAGTGTTAGTGTAATATTGTTGGTTTGTTGTTGTTGTCCTTTGTATTTTAAATAATTATAAATTCATTATGATAACTATGAGTAATTTAATCATGAAACTTCAGATCTGTAGTTTTAATCATAACATGTTAGCATCCTATGTCATTTCATTAGTCAGGGCAATCTTGATTTCTGTAGGCACAATATTTTAATTTTTAAATCGTAATGTTGCTGATGGTTTCTGAGATAAACATGACGAGTGATACATCAAAATTTAGGAAATTTCACGAGCTTCTCAAAAATATCATAATATATAGGGTGGTCCATTTAAAAAAACAGAGTTTGGGATGGTGCTCAACAATCTGAACGCCCTGTAGAAAAAATTCTCATCTCAATAGATTCTATGGAAAAAAGTGATTTGAGAATGTTTTTACCAAAATGAATTATCTTCATTAATAAGAAAGTTATGGGGCATTGAAGAAATCAACGAATTTTGAGAAAAGCCCTCTGGCGGCCAAACAATAAGAGATAGCAAAGTCTCGTTTGCGCCAGTGGTTTCCTTATTGAATTCAAGCTCCGGACACCTAGGTTAATTTTTTTTCATCTCTTCAAATAAGGGGTGTTCCCATAAGAACGCATCCAGTTTGGGACACCCTGTACATTTATTTCGATAATGTCGTAACTACTGGCAACATTGTGATGAAATTTTGAATTAATATGTTATGGAAGCTGACAATTTTTATATCGGACTCATAGAGAGTGTATCTCTTATGGCGCACTCATTACCTATTGTTCATTCATTCCATTTGAGATCGATTTCATTGATTCTTCTTCGTGAGTTCAACGTAGAAAAATAGATTCAAATGGTTTTTCAAACTCATTATTATTATTAATATCATATTTTCTTTGGTCCTTCATATGTATAGCGGTACTCCTAATGGGAGCTCGTTGTTAATGATTCTATAAAGAATGTGCCTTTTGTATTTTCAGATTTCTGAAAACGACTTCGCTGAAACTGAAATGCTGGAATCCCTCCTCCTTGGTCACAACGAAATAACTTCCCTGAACAACTCGCTATTGAGCCTCAGGAACCTGAATTTCCTCAATCTAGCTTATAACCGTCTTGTGGAATTCTCTTTCCAAGAAGTGGCTGACCTTCGAGATCTCAGAAGCATCGATCTTTCGTATAACCGTATTGAAACTCTCATAGGACCAGCAACAGTAAGTAAATAGTTATTTTCCTAACAAGTGCGGAAAGTGATACTTTCCCGCACGCAAATGCCGTTGACCCGAACGACGCGAAGCTGAGTTCGGGCAAGCAGTGGATGAGTGCGGGAAAGACACTTTCCGCATGAGTTAGGAACAATATTTTTTCTACAAGCGTAGGAAACTGATTGATTTGTTCAATCAATCATTCCTGCGAATAGGAACAACTAACAATAGTGATATATTCTCTCTTCTAATAATTAGTGATATATCTATTGTTTGTACCGTTTGAAGCATTATGTAGATAAGCTTATTGCCCATGGTGTTTGGCCTCTAGGTTTCAGACATTTCTAGGGAATGAGCCAAAAATACTTCTTCTTTATTTGGTGTTTTCACTTTTTCACTATTGCACCCCATTCAATAAATCCCGTGTAGTGCTTCTCATACCTTTCTTATAAGACTTCGTTGGCAATAACTCAACTGTATCGCATCTGTAACTGAAAGTGAATCAAAAGTGGCAGTAACGTTCTGTCTGTCACTCTGAGAATTACACTAACTAATTTGTGTTTTGATTGACATGACAACAATTGTTTCCCACATCAGATCAATTCTTCATTTTCACAATAAATAGTGCAATTTGATGGATGATTTTGTACAAACTAAATACTGCAACGAAAAACCTAAAACTTTCATATTGTGTCACCCACCACTCATATTTTGCGAGAATATAATATAATTGTTTTTCCCGCACTACTGCGGGAAAATGACGCTTCTCGAACTAAATTGCGTGCGGGTATAGGGTGAATCACGCACGCTTGTAGAAATAACATTTTTTTCCACCATTAGCTCTAGAATCTATCATTATTTACTCCTTTACAAGGCGTAAAGTGTTTTTATACTACCAAGGTAGTTTTATGAACCACTAGGCAATAAAGACAGCGACCTCTGATATGATTAAACCGAATTCACTGATCTTATGCGAGATTCGCAGGAATGGCACTCGAATCTAGTAGGTATTTATCAATAACGATTTATCATGTGCTGTCATGGTGGCTACTAGATTTTAATTAGAATTGAAAAAAAACACTTCCATAGTGAAAATGGGTCCATATTTCAGTTTCACAGTATATGTGATTGAAATATATTGCTAGTGGTGAAAAAAATTTAATATACACCTTGGTAGTAAATAATAATATTGTTTACTACCTTGGCGTATAAATAACTATATTCCTAATGCAACTGAGAGACACTGAAATAATACCTCACAAATCAACAGTAATATCACAATGTTCTGAATATTCGAGGTAGTTTTGTCGCTTTGTTGTTCAAGCAAAAGTGTTGCTGTACGGCAACTACTAACATGACATTTCCAAAAAGAATCTTTTATTTTTTTCTGAAGTAAATATTAACGAAGTTGTGATATTTTGACAAACGCCGTTCTTTTATATAACATTTCTTCATAATGATCCAAAACTTTTTCTCCATAATAATCCAAAATATTCCTCAAGAAAGCATGTTTGCCTATGATGTTTCCAATTTGAAATTGAATTACCATTATACATGCATAACAAATATAAATATACATGTCTACCACATCATCGTTACAGAAGAACTCTATTTCCATGGTTTATTCACCTGTTACAGTTGTTTCAGAATTTGGTGGATTGGAACAGCAAATTAACCGAAATCAAGCTGGATCACAACAATATTGAAACCTTGAATGGGGCCTTATCTGGTTTGTCTGAGCTTCTGAGGCTCAACTTGAGCTTCAACAAACTCAAAAAAATATCTCCCGAAGATCTGATTGGATTGGAACAACTGCGGCTTTTGGACATTTCACACAATCATTTGACCACATTAGAAGAAACTAGTAAGGTGAGTTAACTATAAAACCAACTCTTATTTTGAATCCAACAAGCAATCTTAGAGATTACTATGTCTGTGCTCTTGTCATTGCTGAAGATCACTAGCATTTCTAGTCACAGGCACCAGGGGTTGAAGAAATTATTATCTACATTCAGTAGTATCTATGCTAGAGTCCGCTCAGGTTAACTTTGGGACAGCACGTGGTTAACTACGTATTGTTGAGGGCGGCACTGGGAAGCTGCTCAAATAATATCCACGTCTTCAACCTCTCTTATCTAGCTTATGTAACTCCTTAATCATGCATTCAATATATCTTAGTCATGAAACCAGCACCAGTCGATATTCTGAACATGATACGGGGTGATGGTAATGAATCACACAACATATACAGGGTGTTTCATTGGGAAAGGTAAATAATTCAACTGTGGATAGGGGTCACTGGGGTGATTTCAAAAAACCCATGGTTGATGGGTCTTCGACTTCTTATAACCGAGATACAGGATGTTTCTTCAATTTTGTCCATATCTTCATTGTCTCATAACTTTCCAACCAACCTGTATATATTTTTAAAAATTGGTACACTTGCTCAATCTATCCTGTGGAATCGATTGAGGCAACAACAAAAAATAAAATCCAGGTCCGGCACCACTTAAAATTCACAAATTCTTTCTGCCAGAAAACAACACCCTATACATTCGAATTTCTCATTTTTTTGCCATATTTGAAAAGAACATCAAAATTTCTATTCAACGATGTGCTTTTTATTCGTGCACAGACGATTTTAACTATTCATATTATGTGCTCAAAATATTATTTTTGCTCATTTTGGGGTACAAATTTGAATCAGACGAGATTTATTAATTTAATTACTTCCCATTCAGTACGTGAGTATTACATTAAGAAGGAGTATTTCATATCGTTCTTTGTTCCAGACTTAGTTGCAGGTCCGTCATCAAAACTATACAGGGCTTTTCACGATAAGCGTTAATTAGATGTTTCTGGCAAACCAGGCAACGGATAAATCTAAAAATTCGAAGGTATATGTATGAATTAACATAATCTACACGTCTGAAATATTTGAAACAATCCGGCGTTGCCGCTTTTACTCGAAAGTAACAGTAACTTTGATTTTTCAAGGGACACCCTGGATGCTTCCTGAAGAGCTGATTTAATCGATTCACAAAGTTCGGGGTCTAGTGGGACCAATAACTGAGATATTTAGAGTGAGAAAAATCTAGATGTTTCAACTTGAGTTATTTTGCGAAAGTATGTATTATTGATCAAAACGGCTTTTATGTCCCTTCTTAACTTTGTATCTATTGACATTTAATCGAAACAAAAACAGGATGGTTCATAATTCAGATTTCTGCACCACCCTGTATCTGTTTCAATTGAATATCGAATGGAAAGTTGAGATAGGGCATTGAAGCCGATTTGACTATGCAATAATAAATAGTTTCAACACAAAACATTTCTAAAGTTGAAACATCTCGATTTTCCACATCCTATATCTCAGTTATCAGTGCCGCTAGACCTTGAATGTTTTGAATCGATGAATTCTGCTGTTCAGCAAGAATCCAAGAATGTAATGAAATACAGGGTGTCCCATTTGAAAAATCGAAGTTGCTGCTACTTTCTAGTAGAAGCGGCAAGGCCGGATCGTTTCAAATATTTCAGTAGTGTAGATTACGTTAATTCATACATACCATCGAAACTTTAGATTTATCCGTCGCCTGGTTTGCCAGAAACATCGAATTAACGCTTATCGTGAAAAGCCCTGTATAGTTTTGATGACGGACCTGCAACTTAGTCTGGAACAAACAACGATATGAAATAATACTCCTTCTAAATTAATAAATCTCGTCTGATTCCAATTTTGTACTCCAAAATGAGCAAAAATAATATTTTGAGCACATAATATGAATAGTTGAAATTGTCTGTGCACGAATAAAAAGCACATCGTTGAATAGAAATTTTGATGTTCTTTTCAGATATTGCAAAAAAAAATGAGAAATTCGAATGTATAGGGTGTTGTTTTCTGGCAGAAAGAATTTGTGAATTTTAAGTGAAGCCGGACCTGGATTTTATCTTTTGTTGTTGCCTCAATCAATTCCACAGGATAGATTGAGCAAGTGTACCAATTTTTAAAAATATATACAGGTTGGTTGGAAAGTTATGAGACAATGAAGATATGGACAAAATTGATGAAACATCCTGTATCTCGGTTATAAGAAGTCGAAGACCCATCAACCATGGGTTTTTTGAAATCACCCCAGTGGCCCCTATCCACAGTTGAATTATTTACCTTTCCCAATGAAACACCCTGTATAAATAATGATAATGATAATAATAATAATACTATACTAGCAATTAATGTAACTTGGTGGGTTCTCTGGAGTGTTTCTAACAGTATGAATTGAATGCAAATGCGTTGAATCACGTGGTGTCCCTGGTTAAGCTGGCCGGACTTTAATAATTTCATAAATTCATAGCAGTAATCTCAGTGTTATTCAATGAGAAAAATCTACGTAGTTTTCACTATGCAGGGTCATGACTATAACCAGCCATAGTCTGATGGCGGATAGAGGAAGTCAATGTCAGTTTGATATATATGTGAAAAAAAAATATTTTGCCGTCTCCATGTTTTCGCCTGAAATTCACCAGCAATTTACCTCTACTGACACACCACACGATGGCCTACTATGGAAGAGAAATTCCAGATCCGGACTTGGAAAACTCATTTTCTCTTTAAATGTCAAAATTTCGACTTTCAGAATATTTTGTTTCAAAAACTTTCATCGGAATAGAAACAATTAGGAAAAACGCTACAAGTGTAGCTCTTCAATTTGTACGATAGACTCCGACCGACTTGGTGAAAAAATATCAAACAAAATTCTGATGAATATTTCTTCGATTTCGTCCGGGCAAGTATTAGAAATTTTTTTTGCATATTGATATAGCAGCAGAGTTGAGAAAGGGTATTATTCAATAAGAAAATTCAGGATTGGAGTTGGTTTTTGAAAAGAACTACAAATCAATTATAATTTTCGAAAAAGATTTGCCTATATCCTAATATTCTAAAATGAAGATTCTTAAAATGTCCTCCATTTTCTATACATTTTCTGCATCTCTTCATGATATCTCTTATGGTTTTTCGAATAATTTGCCTATTATTTCTGATCATATCTGAAGCTGTAACATGCTCTCCCTCAGTTCCTCCCAAGAATTGACTTCAGTCTGATGTAGAACAATTGTGTCATAATTATTATGTCTCCTTTGATAATACTGTGAGATTAGGGGATCTAAGGGGCCAAGAATGAGGGCATCCACGACCTTACCAGCGATCAGAGAATTGGGTGTCTAGGTATTTTCTCACTTGTATTGAGTAATGTGGAGGTGCCCCATTCTAATGAAAGAAAATATCTACATATTTCAATCAATTTTCATACATTCATCACAGCCTTCTTTCTTAGTGTTTTCGAATATCAAAACAACACAATAATTATTTGATTCTCTGATTGAGAGAGTTCACATTCTATGAGATCATATTCAATAATACTTCGAGAGTTCCTTTATGTAGTAGTGAGTTGGCACGTATACCTATCTGATTCCGAAAAAATCTTTTTTCTAATAGCGTGCGGAAATGTTCACTTGTCCGCACTCATTCTAGTATTGAAAGAGTCACTTTTCTGCACTAGTGTGGAAAAAACTTTCAACGCTAAGATGAGTGCGGAAAATAGGAATTTGTTTTTTTTTTTCGCACGCTAGTAGAAAAAATAGTGTTTCTAACACGTGCGTAAAGCGACTTTTTCGCAAGTCCGGCTCTGAACTTTTTTTTTCATAGTAGGCGATCTTGTGGAGTGTCAGTAGAGGTAAGTCGCTGGTGACTTTCAGGCGATATCATCGAGACGTTCCTGAAATATAGTTCATCGAAGTTTCACCCCAAATTTAAATAATGCCGTGTATTTCTGTTATGAATAGGCAATAGTTATTTGTTTAACTAGGCAGCAAAGTAGTAGATTGACTGCCGAGGCTGAATTCAGGAAGGCAGTCAATCTACTTTGCTGCCGAGTTGAACATATAATTTTTTCTCCGATTGTTCATAATGATATATGTGGTGTCCTACTAGGCAGTACTAATGCACACACTTGCAAACACTGATTTATTTAATATATAATAATAACACTAACAATAGTAACAATGTATTATACTCAATAGCATGTCATATATCGGGCCGTAGTCCGTTCACGACTACCGATTCACATTCCTCGATATCTCATCCCGGTGAATCACCATGTCGCTTATCGACTCGTAGAGGCGCGCTCCCACATTCCGTCCTTTTTTTTCAGTCTCAAAGGTTCTATTTTCTCAAAGGCCTCTTGCTCCGAAATGTTGATGTCTGTGGGTTGTGGTTGTCGAAGCGTGCTCGTTGATGTCGCTGTCTCGCTGCTTGATGTTGTTGGTTCCCCGACTTCTACCCCGGATGCGATACCTGGAATGTTATTTATAGGTTATACATTGTAAACGTCGATTTCCCTGCAAAGTGAATAAGTTGTTGATATCAATTGTATACATGATAGTTATTTCAAACCGATACTTGGATTACCTCTAGGTTCTCCGGTTGTGTCAGTCGATACCGGTCGTGGAGTTGTCACTGTTGCTGCCGGAGTCCGTTTCACATGAGAAACGTGCCGCTTTACAGTCTTACCATCTCCAACCAAGGTCACCTCGTTTCCATTCCTCTCTATCACCTCGTATTCTGTATTATTGAATCTGGTTGTGAGTTTATGTGGAATAACCATATTCTGGAGCACTACCTTATCCCCAACGCCGATGTTACTCCCTCTTGCTTTCCTTTTACTATCTTCTCTTTCCTTTCCTTTCTGTTTATTCATTATGTCGTTGTCTTGTGCTTCCTGGTCAATATCTTCCCCAACAATGTCCGTTATCGATGGAATTTTATCCCGTATTCTCCTATTGAATAGAAGTTCTGATGGAGACTTTCCTGT